ATGGATTGTTCTCTTTTATTATTATTATTATTATTATTATTATTATTATTATTATTATTATTTTGCATTTTAATATATACAAAAGATGGAAATGAAAATATATTGTTTTCTTCCCCTGCCTTTTTTTTTTGTCAAACCAAATAAGTATAAATGACATTTTAAAATGAAAAAAAATAGATAATTAATTTTAAACACAATAAATTAAAAAATTAAAAAAACTAAAGTTTAATACTCCCTATATCTCAAATGATTTACATTTTTAGATTTTTTTCCCAAACTAACATAATTTGGTGACAATTTATATGTATTTACCTATACTACTCTTCTTTAAAAAGAAATAGAAGATAAAACTAGATTTTGTTTGATAAGATAAATAATTAAAGTAAATGGATAATGATATGATTAAAATGGAAAAAAAAATATTTTTCTATCTTAAAAAATAAAAAATAACTATTAATTTAAGATAACTTTGAATTAAAAAATGAAAATTATTTTGAAATAAAAAGAATAAAGACGTATATAACATATGAAACGCTCAACTTAGCCTATGAGGCATGTCAATTTTAGCTCCAATACACCTTTAAGCCATTTTTATTGGTAAGAGGCGCTCCATTTCAGCTTATTTGTCATTTTAAAAAAATATTCTACTTTATTAATTAATTTTCTTTTTGAATTTAGATTTAAATCATAGGCATGGAGGTTGAGATGGATAAATGGATAAGAGAGAAAGTTACCTTTTATTCTATAAGTGAAAAAAAAAAAAATCTACCATGATGTTGTAGTCAATCTTCTTTTATGATGCAAATGGAAATTTCATTAACTAATTAAGTCTTATAAAATATTGTTTGATATACAATAAAATTATGGTTAAAATATTAATTTAGTTCCTCGATTTTTCAATTTATATTAAAATTACCTTTAAACTTCAAAAAGTTCAAAAATTATTTCTAAATTTTAATTTTTGATACTAAAATAGTTTTAAGTTTAATTCTTGAACTTTGAAAACAAGAACCAACTTTTGTCTTTGAACTTTAAAGACACGTAGCAATTTAGTTCTTGAATTTTGAAAATAAATATCAACTTAGCCTTTAAACTTTGATTACAAGTACTAATTTGGTTCTTTAACTTTGATTATATGTTAATTTGGTATGTAAATGAAAATATACTACGATAATATAAAATATAACTGTTTGATTTTACGCGTTATTAGTATTTTAAAAAGAATTAATTTTATGATAAGATAACAAATTACCTAACACTCCTATTAATAGAAGAACTATTTTGGGACTAAAAATTAAAGTTTAAGGATTATTTTTGTACTTTTTAAAATTTAAGAATGACTTCAATACACATATAAAAAATTAAGGGACTAAATTTGTATTTTAACTGAAAATCATCAGGATCATGTGAAAGACAAATTGAACGAAAAGAAAGAATTGAGTCAAAGACAATAAAAGGCTCTCACCACTATATTTGGCAAGTGTATCATTTATTTATTAATTTTTGTAAAAGTCGAAGATATATAAAATATCTTGTGGGCCAAATAGTAAATAACTAAGGGTTTTCTAAATCTTTAGCATTATGTACGTGTTAAAGGTTATAATCATTGTATATTTTTAATAATAATTAATATTAAAAAATACAAAAGTTGGCCTTAATTTTGCAACTAACATCATGTGAATCATTTTAATTAGGTTAGTGATTAAATAAAAATCAATTTTTATTTTTTAATAGAATTTTCCAATTACGTGTTTAATGGTGCATTTATTATATATTTTTATCATTAATTTACATAAAAAAAATAATTTATCTTTAGTTTTAGAGGTATTCTAATATGTGCCCTTATGAATGTAATAAATATATTTTTTGGTTATAAATTTGTATTAAAAAAGTAAAAATTTATCTTTAATTTATTATTTATTGAATTAAATTTATTTACTTGATACTAATATTAAAATTAATATTAGTTTTTACATTTTTCTATATACATTTAGAAGAGAGTTTCACTTACACATAAGTCTTATACAACATATTTATAAAAAGTTTCAATAATTTATTTCTCTACTTTTAATTATTAAAATTTATTATGACTTTTTAGATAAAAAAATTATTTTTAATGAATGTGAATAAATCTCAATCATAAAAAGTGAAAATAAATGAATGGTTGAGATGTTGTATAAATATAGTATGCAAAACTTGTGCATAAATAAATCCCTACTCATACTTTAATAGCAAAAAGGTGCCCCTACTAGAAAAACCTTTAGTTTTATCAGTCATCTAATTAAATCATTACATGCGGTATTAATATTTGAAATAAAGTTTATTTTCTTAGTTTTTTATAGAAATTAATGGTAAAAAAATAATAAATGCAGTTTTAACACAAATTAGAGAAACCTTTTTTTTAATACCAATTAATGTAAAAAAATGTAACCTTAATTTATACCTAAAGGCTTCAGGTAGAAAAACACAATAACTAAGACTCAGCTTGACAACTATAGTCTTTAAGTTTTTGATTTTGGATTTTATAAATTTTATAATTCTAAACAAAAAAAATTTATTTATTCTCATGTGCTTTTAATATATTATTATAATTACTAAAAAACTACGAACAAAAATAATTTTAATACTACTCCCCTGTCCTAGAATAATAGATATTTTACTTAAAATTTGTTATAAAATAATAGTCCTTTTCTATATATTTTAAAAGAGATAA